CTACTCCCTCTCAGTACACAAACAAGACTTCTGCCCTATAAAACCTAACACGACTCCCTCATCCCTTTATGCAGTAAAACTCCTGCAAACAGCCTCCTGTCCTCGCTGTCCGTCCTCCATCCTGCCCACTGTCCCTCGAACCCATCTGGTCAAGCTTTGGCCTCCCGCTCTCACCTCGGCTGCCCTTGTCAAGGTCATCCATGTCCTCCATGAGGCCAAAGCCATAGTCAGTTCTCACTCCTCATCTAGACTCACCAGCAGAGGCTCTCCCTCCCCCCTGACTCGTATGTCCTACTAGGCCTTGGGGACACTCTGCCCTCCAGATCTTCCCCATCTGACACGGACCCCTTCTCCTTTTCCTTTGCTTCCCCTCATCCTGGTCCCAAACCCTTGATGCTCCATGGTTCAGAGAGGAACCTGAACCTCCGTGGTTCATTCCTTGACCCCTTTCTCTTTGCCATCTGCAAGTGGCCTTCCCAGGGGAAGGGCACTTGGGAGGAAGGCTCAAAGCCACAGATGGGGAACTCAGATCTACTTCTCCTCGACCCCTCTGTCCCAATATACCTGGAAAGGATGACACTCTGGGGAGAAGCAACTCTAATCAGCCCCTGGTCTCCAGAGGTGGGCATCCAGGGGCGTACGGCTGGAAGAAAGATGGCAGCTGCCTCCCACCCACCCTGTGCCCACCCTGTTGGGTGTGTTGACCATGATGATGATGTAAGCATACTGGAAGGCCAAGCCGAAGGCTGTACTCAGAGTCACTAGCACCAGCATGAGCTGGAGCCTCTGTGGGAGATGGGGCTGTGGTCAGGGACTATGGGGGGGCCAGTCTTGGCCCCTGAAAATGGGGGGCAGCGGAGCCCAGGCTGAGCCCAGCTGGAGGCGGCAGATGACTGGGGGATGAGGACGGCTGCCCACATACCCATTTCCTCCTGGGGGACCGGTCTAGGCATCTCCTTTATGACTGGCCCTGGGCCACGTGGGGCTGCTTCAAGGATGAAGGTCCAGCAGCCTGCTGTCCTCATGGAGCTTGGATTTTAGTGAGAGGAGACCCCCCGCAAACTGCACACATATGAGAAATGCAAATAACAATAATGTCATGAGGACTGAGACCGGGCGATGGGCTAGAAGCCAGTGGGCGGCGAGGGGTCGGGTTCAGTAGGGTCCACAGGGACTGTGTCTCTGAGGAGGAGCCTTTGGGCTGAGAGCTGAATTTTGGTTTTAAAGATCTTATTTTATTTTATTTATTTACCGAGATGTGGGTTTTCTTTTAAAAATTTTATTTATTTATTTATGAGAGAGAGAGCACAAACAGGGGAAGCAGCAGGGAGAGGGAGAGGGAGAAGCAGAGAGCCCGACATGGGGCTCGATCTCAGGACCCTGAGATCATGATCTGAGCCAAAGACGATGCTTAACGGACTGAGCCACCCAGGCACGCATAACGATTTTATTTTTAGGTGATCTCCACGCCCAATGTGGGACTCACACTTATGACCCCAAGATCAAGAGTCCCATGTTCTACTGACTGAGCCGGCCAGGCACCCTTCATCCTCAATTTTACTCTGTGAAATCCAGAAGTGTGAACCTGCTGGTGAAAGCCACCTGCCACCTGCCTGATGGAGTCACGAGAGCGTTCGTCATCCCGGGGTTGGTGACCTTTCTGCAGGATGCTCCTTCCCCAGTCAGCTCAGCTGTGCTCTGCTCCTTCAGAACCTCCACTCCTCCCAGCAAGACTCAGCCACTCAGAAAACACTTAGTGAGCCCCGAAGCCCTCCTTACCCCCATCGCTCTCACTTGCTAATTGCCCTGCCCTTGACTGACCTTGGTCAGCATCCAAAGAACCTCCAACCTCCTGACACTTTCCAATTTTCCCAAGTGCTTTTTCTTCTCCATCTTTGCTTCTCTTGGTGGCCAGATGGGTCCCCTGTGGTATCCGAACCTTGCCCATAGGACTATTCCATCAGTAACAAAGTTTTGAACACCAACCTCCAGTGTATGCATATTTATTTATTTTTTAATAAATTTTTAAAAATTAACATATACTGTATTAGTCCCAGGGATACAGGTCTGTGAATTGTCAGGCTTACACACTTCATAGCACTTGCCATAGCACATACCCTTTTTCTTTTTTCTTTTTTTAATATTTATTTTTTATTTAAGTGCTGCTCATGTATAAAACAGACACTCCAAAGGGCATTGTGAAGGGAGGAAGCAAGGAATACAGTAGTTCCCCCTGATCCATGGGGGATCCCCTCCCAGCCCCCACGAAACTGCGGATAGCACCGAACCCTGGGAACACTATGTTTTCTCCTATACATACACACCTGTGATCGAGTTGAATTTAGAAACTGGGCACGGTAGGAAATTAACAATAAAAGACAACAATTATCAATATACTATAATAATTATGTGACTGTGGTTTCTCTCTCCCAAGCTCCAAAGCCACAATGACTCATGTCCTTCTAGACACTTCTCAAGTATTTTATGAGTTCCTCCATCTCCACATGTCCAAAAACGTTACTGTCTTCGCCCCAAGCCTGCCGCTCCACACCCCGACCCCCTCCACTCCTGGTGTTTCAGAAACCTGGCAGGGTGGGAGGTGCCTCACCTGTGAGGGCTGAGGGGTCCCTAAATCCTACAGGTCTGTCTCTGAATTCTCCCACGTCTCGGCCGGACCGCTGCTGGCTCTGCAGGGCCCCCCTTATTTCTTTCCAACTGACCGCCTACCCAAGTCCCCCTCCCTCAGTCCCTAGTACTGCCACAGCCCTTCCTCGGACTCAGCAATCACCCAGGGCCCAGGTTGTGTCGAGCACCCCGTTCAGACTCAGTTTGGCTCATGAGGACCCACACCTTTCCAGCTTTGCTGGCCGACCCGCAGTTCCCCTAAACACTGCCGTGTGCTGTGCTCACCTGAATGTCCATCCTTCCCTTTCCTGCTGCTTCCTCGGCACGGGGGAGACCCTGCGTTCTTCCCTGATCCCACACCTTCCTTCCCGTGCAGCCAGCACCGGGCCCATGCCTCCCTCTTGTGGTTCTTAACCCATGGAAACACGCATGTCTGCAAGTGCTTCTTTTTTAGAGGAGGCGGGGGGGCGGGGGAGGAGAGACTTTTTTTTTTTTTTTTAAGATTTTATTTATTTATTTGGCATAGAGAGAGATCACAAGTAGGCAGAGAGTCAGGCAGAGAGAGAGATGGGGAAGCAGGCTCCCTGTTGAGCAGAGAGCCCGATGCGGGGCTTGATCCCAGGACCCTGGGATCATGACCTGAGCTGAAGACAGAGGCTTTAACCCACCACTGAGCCGCCCATGCGCCCCGGGAGGAGAGAATCTTAAGGGGGCTCTTGATGCGGGGCTCGATCCCATGACCTTGAGATCATGACCTGGGTCCAAATCAAGAGTCAAATGCTTAACCAACTGAGCCCCCAGGTAGCCTGTTTCTGTAGGTAGCTGTCTGTATTAAGCTGACGTGAGCTCATACCAGGATCTCCAAGCTCATCTAGGGCCATGTGGATTATCCTGGGCTCCGTGTCTTGGCTTATCTGCACCAGTGAGAAGCCTCCCACCACGTGCCATCCATTTACTTAATTGCTTAATCCCAGTTATACATGGATAGTGGTCTCTCGCTGCATTCCTACCTATGGCTTTATTTGTCCTCAAGATTGATGCTCATTCTCAAGCTCTTAAAAATAACTAAGTACATAACACTTGCCAGCCGCTGATCTAAACACCACGAACATGTTCCCTCATCCTCGTAACCATGGGAGACACTTATCATTAGCTCTGTTTAACAGAAGAGGAAACTAATGTGCAGGAAAGCCCAGCAAAGAGCCCATGTCGCACCATCACCAAGTGGCAGAACCAAGGACAGGAGCTCCCACCTCCTGGATCCTGACATCCCGGCTGGACGGCTCCTATGTTGAGAGCTCCTACATGTGCGGCTGCTTCCCCGGCCCCCTTCGGCACGGCAGGCCCCTGCAGCAGGAGGTCAAGGGTGGTCCAACCCTGGCAGGGGTTCTGGGCCCTCGCTACTCTTTTGAATTATTTAATTCATCACCAGTGGGATCCCCATTCTACCCTGACTAAGGCTGCTCCTAAACCCCACCTCTGTCCGACCCGGCCCCTGGCTCTGCCTCCCTCACAGCCAGGAGCAGCTCACATCCTGTCTCACACACACACACACACACACACACGCACACCCCTGTACGAGAAGCCTCCAGCTCTGCCGTACATTCGGGAGTCGGGGAGGGGAGGCAACCCTCCTTCTCCTGTGCCCCCGTCCCGGTCTCACTTTCAGGGCCCCTCGGTGTTCGCTATGTACCTGAAGACAAGCAGAGGAGCCTGGATCTGAAATTTTAAAAGATCACAACTCTCTGACCGCCTCAGCTCTCGCTGCTTCCCTTCTTCCAGCAAATACGGTCTCCGGGCCCCCTCCACTCCAGGCCCTGTTCCAGGCAGCGGGGTCCCGGGACAGACCCGTACCCTGGAGCGGCTGACGCCTTGGCACAGACTCCCCACAGGGAAGAAGCAGGTGTTGGTGAGAAGTGGTCATACGTGTTTTATTGAGCACACAGAGGCAACGCTATTGTCCTCCAGCAATATAGTTCACGATTAACAATCTCCAACTCCGGTAAAGTCCCCGCGGGAACCTGTCCCAGCTTCTTAGACGTCATTACATGGGACATCACACTTTCCAGGGCTGGTGTTTCTGGAGATGGATACGGCAAGAGGAAGACTGCCTCTGGTCCCGAGCAGACCCGTGGGACTGCAGAAGAGTTCGTTTCTCTGGCAGATCGGGTTCCTTCCGTCCTGCCGCCCCAGTAATGACTTTGGTCGTAAGAGCTGGTGTGATCAGGGGCCACCCAGTGGCGAACCCAGCTCGGCGAGGGCGCCTGCTCATTGCGAGCTGGGGTTGGTGGTGGGTCAATGTGGAGAGAGACAAGCAGCGCTTTGGACGGTCCCGGGGGGGCCTGCGTTCCACCCCGGGCTGGTCCTCAGATGTTCACGGACACCCGGTGGTCAGGAAGAAAGCGCAGGAGGGACGCTCCACTCAGACCCGCTTATCAGCTCCTCTTCTGAGCTACAGCCCCGAAGCGGAGCTCGGGAAGCCCTTCAGTTCCTCCTTCTCCGGGTGCACCTCCGACTCCTTATTCATCTTGGTGAAAATCTGGTTGATCTCCATGAATGTCTTGCCCTTGGTCTCAGGGACAACCAGGAAGATGTAGATGGTGGTGAGAAGGCATATCACAGCAAAAATGATGAAGCTGTAAGGTCCGAGGCCCACCTGTGGGAAGGGGATCGGGGTTCACTTGCTCGAGAAGGTTCTCCCCTTACTGCCGAGGATTTGCACATCTGGGGCCCCCGGGGCACACTCACTTGGACGAATGGGAAGATCAAGCCCACGGTGAAGTTGGAGAGCCAGTGGACGCTGCCCCCCACCATGAAGGCGGCCGGCCGGGAGGACTGCAGGAAGATCTCGGTGATCAGCAGCGCGGGGATGGGACCTGGGGGGGCAAAGCGGGAGAGGAAGAAGAGCTGTCTTCTCCAGAAGCAAGCAGAGCAGGCCCACAAACGGCCCCGGAGCCCCTGCCATGTCAGGTGGCCTGAGGCATCGGGACCTAAGGGGCAGCGTGTCTCGGGAACTCCTGAGCTGGTGGCAAAGCAGGAGGAGAGGGTCAAGAGGAGGAATTGGGCACCACGGGTGACACTGCGTGACGTCCCGAAAAGGGGCCTGTGACCACCCGTAAGCTTCTCTAGGCCAACCACCCAGCCCCTGTTTCAACCCACACAGTCAAGGCTGCTTTTGCTCTCACTCTAATTATGCTCTGTCCAGACCCCTTTGCGATAGGAAGGCAGGGAGAGAAGCCGTTCTGGGGCTGCATCCCACCCTCCAAGGCGTCTCTCCAGGGAACAGAGGTTTCTAGGGCTGATGGTGCAAGAAAGGAGACCAGGACAGCATAGAGCCAGCACTGGGGTACGTACTGGGCCCGAGGGCGTGTCCGACCACGTAGGAGATGACGCAGGCGATGCTGACGTAAGGCATCCAGGATATTGTGTCCTGTGGGGAGAAAAGAGGGGGGATCACGGCCGGCAAAGCAGGGACAACTGGAGATGGGGAACGTCAGGAACCTTGGTCCCCAGAGGGCCAGGGGCTCTCCGGGGGCTGGGATAGGAAGGCTCCTGGCTCTTCCAACAGGCAGCCCCGCTCGGATGCCCCCGGACAACCAGCCATTCGTGGGCTCTATGCTGCTTTGTGGCGAGGGTGATGGGGGGCTGATGGTCCCCAGGCATCTGATTCCTTGCAGCTGCTCAAAGGTCATTCCGCTCTTCTTCCCTGGGATGCAGGCGAGGGTGCAGGGGGTGGACAGAAGCCCCCTCCTCACCTGCAGGGCCAGAGCGGCCGTCAGCACGCAGCAGGCGGTGAAGCAGATGGAGAAGCCCAGGAGGAGAAGGACCCTTCGCCCCAGGAGCTCCACTATGAACACCTGCAAGGGAGGGGGCACAGGGCAAGCCGGGAGGTCCAGGAGGTCCGCCAGAGAAGGGGGGCAGACCTCTGCCTACAGCTGCCTTCACAGGAAGCCCCCACACTCCCTCTTCTGAAGGGGCATTTGTGAGGAGAAGCGGGTGGGCTATGTCCCCCAGCAGCCGCCACACCACCCAGGCCAGCGGTGTCATCTGCCCCTGGCACAGGAAGAGCCCCAAATGTCAGACACTGGGAAGGAGGCACTCCCTACGGCGGAAGCTTCCAGAGTCAGGGGGCAGGGTCTCCATCCTGGGGGTGGCATGCACAGGCTGGCATCTGACAGAAGTCCAGAGGCGGGAGACGAGGACCTCAGGCACCTCAGATCGAGCTCTTTCCTCAGCTAGGACCCCCTCCCCCAACTCTTCAGATGTCTCCATCGCCGGTGGCTGTCGGGGACTCACGGCACAGACGGTCATCAGCACGTTGACGGCCCCGGTGCCCACAGTCACGTACTGGACGTCATGATGGTTCACCCCTGCGCTCAGGTAGATCTGGTCTGCGTAGTAGTAGATCTGGAAGGGACCCCCAGAGGCTGGTGGGGACCTCGGGGCAACGCCCGTGATCCGGCGAGCCCCGCGATGACACCGGCTGCCCGCTCCGGCCCCACAGCCCCCGTACCGCGTTCACCCCCGACAGCTGCTGGCCGCCCATGAGGATGATGATGGAGATGACCTGCCACCGCAAGGACCTCATGCTGAACAGCTTGAGCACGGAGATGAAGCCTGCCGCCTTCTCCGCCTCGTCCTCTTGCCGGATCTCCTCCATCTCCGAGCCCACGTCGTCCCAGCCCCGCAGCTTCTTCAGCGCTAAGGGAGGGGAGCAGGGGGGTGGGCTCGGGGGGTCCCAACTTCCCGGAGCTGGGACGCTGCGGCCTCCATCCCCTGTCCCTCCCCCCCGCAAAGCCCCCCCCCCCCCCCACCGCCACAGTAAAGCCGTACCGTCTTTGGCAGCCGCCTCATCCTTCTTTTGAATCAGCAGGTACCGGGGGCTCTCGGGGAAGAAAGGCAAGAGGAGAAGCTGCAGGGCCGCTGGGATCCCAGTCAGCCCGAGCAGGATGGGCCAGCCTGCGGGGAAGCCAGTGCCCACGTGAGCGCCCGCCCCGGCCAAGTCACCTGCCTTCTGCCCCCAGCCCCACGCCCCTGCCCTGGACCCCAGCTGGCCGCTCTGTCCCAGACTAGTTTCCTTAAGGGCCAGACCCAGAGCTGGTGACACAGGACCCCTCCCGTGCCCAAGACTCTGCTGGGCCCCCCGGGACACCTGAACTGGACCGGTCCGAGCCACAGTGACCCCAGAAATGAGAACCACAAACAAGGCCAATGTCTGCGATGCTAGACAGATACATGAAGCACAGTGTAGTCGCAAAACAGAATTCTACACCGCAGGGGAAAGGAAGCAAACCGCGACAGGAGCCGGTGGCAGAAACTGACGCTGGACCCCGCACCGTGCGGATGACAGCCAGAAGCAGAAGACTGACTCGGTCTTTGCAAAACATGGTAAACAGCTACAGGGAGAGGCAAGGATGGGCTGATGAATGTCAGTACGGGGAGTGGGGGTGGGGGCAGGCCGGGGTCCATTAAACATGGACCTCGGCCCAAGCCACCTGGACACACATCCTAAGGAGACCCTAGACGTATTACCCAACCTCTCTGTGCCTCAGGTTCCACGTCTGTAAAATGGGTATAAAACCAGGATCTGCTTTAAAGGGTTGTTTGGAGGATTGAATGGAAATAATATGAAGACCTGGGCCCTGGCCCACAATAAGCACATTTTACATTCTGGCTGGTGTGACTGTTAAGGGCAATCTCCCTTTCTGAGGATCGAACCCTGAGACCTGAAGGGGTTATCATGCAGAAGCAGTGTAGTTACCAGTGACTGTGCACCTACTATGTGCTGGGCGTGGGCTCTCCAGGAGGGACATAGCAGGTGCAGTCACTGGCTCCAGTCAGGATCTCGGGTGGGGGCCGGCCCTGCAGCTCACCACCTGACCCCCCCTTTCCTGGCCTGTGGAATGGGACGATCACAGTGCCCCCCCCAGCAGCGTTGCTGGGAGGCTGGAGAGTTGGCGGCAGGAAACCTCAAGCACACAGCCTGGAGCCATGGTGGCCGTCACCGCCAAGTCCTGGGCCCCTGTGTGGCCAGCCAGCGAGGAAGCTGGGAGAGAGTCAGGCAATGGCTCTCCCTTCTCGCTCCTTCCAAAGCCCCTCATCCATGTCCTCTGAGGGACTGGGAAATGTCAGCTACACGGTCCCCGCCAATGTACTGAGGGCCCGTTCTGTGCAAACACTGCGCCAGCACCGTGGGGCCGGGCAGCGTGGTGAGCCTGGCCAGCCGACCCAAGAGGAGAAAGGAGCTCGCAGAAGCATCCAGTCGCTGCAGAGGGAGGCCTGGTGTCTGGGGCGGCCGGACCTTACCTTCTTTGTTGGCCAGGAGGCTCCGGAGACCAAAGATCTGAGCCACGAGGATGCCGACGGTGATAAAGACCTGAGGGACCACCCCGAGAGCTCCCCTCAGGTTTTTGGGGGCCAGCTCCCCCAGGTACATGGGGACAACGTTGGAAGACAGACCTGGCAGGGGATTGAAGCAAAAACACCATCAGGAAACATTAAGTCTGGCAGGGACAAGATATGTCTCCAAACACACTCTATTCTTATCCAGCCATCGCAGCAGCTGGGCAGAAACTTCCGTCTCCAAACGGCGAGAGTAAGCAAACCCCTTTTAATTCCTCGTCCTTTAAACTGTAAGGGAAGAAAGGATCATCTGAGCCCAGGAAGTTTGTTGACAAGCAGCCTTGCTTCTCAACTCGTCACAGGGGCCAGGGGACACAGGTGGCCTGACCCCTTGGGCTGCCCTTAGCTGGCTTGGTGCCAGGGAAGAAAAGCCCAGGTGTGGTCTGGCACCTTCTTCCCCTGGCTCCTTGGGGGAAGCTGTTCTGATGGGGCCCAGGACCCCTGCCCACCAACTCCATCTATCTGCAAGCATCAAAATCGCAAATGTATATCGGGGGACAATTGCCACTTCCGAACGCCCATTGTTCAATTTTCTCGTCTTACTGGAACAAGGAAGAACAGGTGGGACTTAGATTTTATAGGCTTGGAAGTATTTGCACATAGATCATCCCATCTAATTCTCCCAGAAGCCCAACAAGAGGCTGAAAATCTTGGACGGAGGTTGGGTGGGTGGTCACGAGTTCCAGTATTGAACACCCTGTCAGGAGTCAGGCTGGGGTTCAAAGACACGTGGGTCTGAGGGGGCTCCGGCCGTGGGGAGGTGGAGGGAACAGTGTGGCGGTGTGTGGAGGTCGGAGCTGCTGGCAGTGTGTGGGTATTGGATGACATCCAGACAGGAGGGAGCGTCTGAGAGCCAAGGGCTCAAGCCTGGCAATTCTGCCCAAGGATATCTGCTCGGTGTTTAGCAGAGGCTCGCTGCTACTCACACTGGCCCTTCCCAGCTGTCAGAGCAAAGAGAGGCCGTCTTTACAGCAGCCTTGAGAAGTCTGGTGGGGTATGTATATGGGGAGACCCCGCAGGCCTAGTGCCCAGAGGACTGGGAGGAAGCAGGGGCCCTCGAGGGGCGGACTCCGTGGTCACCAGTCAGGGCCTGGCGGTGGTGGGGGGGGCCCCACATCTCAGCAACAAGTACTTCCCATGACAGGGACAAAAGACCAAGAGGCAAACATCAGGAGGTTTGTGAAAGGATGGGGTCCCCTTTGTGCTGGTGGAAAGCAATTCCCGTTCTGATTTAAAAGTGACCCCAGTGGGCAATCCCAGCGGGCCTGTTGGGACCGAGTCGGAGAAGGTGGCTTTTACGTTTGAAATCCCTTTGGAGAAAGCACTTGGTGTTCTTGCCACGTGAGCTGACGGTGAGCCAGCGAGTCTCAGGTCCCGCTGTCTGTCCCTGTATCCCCTTTGTCCCCGTACCCTCTTTGGCAGAGCAGTCAATCCCTTCCTTTTTAGGATGTCTGAGCGGCTGGCTGCTGGCTCGCTCAGCTTCCTGACTATCTCGGGAGCTCTGTGAAAGAACGAACCGTGAATGGGAACCGTGAATGGGTTAGGACGTGAGAGCCAGATGGGATCTGAGGACCTAGGAAACTCCTGACACCTTCTCAGGGGGCCTGTGAGATCAAAAGCATTTTTTAAGAATGCCGAGATAGTGCCCGGTTCGTTCTCCTTCTCCCGTGAGCACACAGTGCAGCGCTCCAGAGGCTACGTGGGACATGGTACCATAGCCCCTGGAATACAGAAGCAGGTTGGAGAAGCCAGACATTAAAGAGATTTGCAAAAACGCAAAGAAATACCCTTCTTCTCACGAAGTGTTTTGGTTTTAGGATATATAGCTCTTATAACGGGCTTCTGGTCACCATTTAAATGAATTAAGTGAACATATCTTGGTTGCAGTCTTTTCTTTCTTTCTTTTTAGATTTTTATTTATTTATTTGAGAGAGAGAGCGAGCATGAGCAGGGCAGGGAGAGGCAGAGGGAGAGGGAGAAGCAAACTCCCCTCTGAGCAAGGACATGGGGCTCGATCCCAGGACTCTGGGATCATGAGCCGAAGGCAGACACTTCACCGGCTGAGTCACCCAGGTGCCCCTTGGTTGCAACTTCTAAGTTGTAAATATTGACCAATACAACCCACACGAGTAAAAAGCTCTTTGGAGCCTCAGTGATTTTAAGAGGGTAAGAAGGGCCTGAGGCCAAAACTTCTGAGACCCGCAGACTTGAAAGTCCTGCTTATTTAAGACAAAAGGGTGGGCGTTTTGTGATTTGTTATCTATTGGAGCCTAATAGCTCCCCATTGGAACTAACCCTAAAGGGTTGGATGGTCCACAGAAAAGTGCTTGCCTGCACCTGCCCACAGCCGGTGCCTCCCAGAATCACTAGCCCAGCCCTGCTGCGGGGGAGTCAGGCCAGGCGCCCTCGGGGCTCGGCGGTGGAAGCGGAGGGAAGCTTGTCCCAGGGCCCATCACTCTCTCCACCACAGGACCTCTCCTCTCTTCAAGGATCTTATTTTCCTCTTCTTCTCTCCGGCCCCTCAATTCCTCGCCGTTTTCCCCGACACCAGGTCCTTGCTGCATCCCCCACTGTCCCCAGTACCCACTGAGGGGCTTGCTGACATGTGGCCCAGATATCCGTCCACCCCTAGCCCCATGATTGGAAGGAGAAAATGAGACACGTTGGCACTGCCAGGGCTGGGTGTGGGGTTGCTGGCAAGGGCCCAGGATGCGGCATCTTGGGGGTGCTCACCCTGGGGGCCCACCCAGAAAGTGCACGGCTCCGAGAGTGGGAGTCCTGCTCGCCCCCAACCCCCAGGCCTGGGAACTACAGTCTACAGAAGAATGCCAAGTCAGGCGAAGGTCGCAAGCACGGCTTTAGCCCCATCTCTCTGGTCGGAAGCAATGATGGGGGAGCGCAGACTTCAAGGATGGCTTTGGAGGGTTTGCAAGGCGAGAGACCCCAGCCAGTCCTTACTCTGCGCAACAGGTGGGCCAGGGAGGAGGAAGTGCAAAAGGACCTCTGAAGAGCCCTTTGCAAACTTCACCTTCCTGCTCTTGTTAGGAGGGATTTGTCCATTAGACTGTTATGCTTTTCTAGCCATGACCCACAGTAAAAAATACAGAAACACGTTTGACACTGCAGCCTGATTTTCATACATTACCAATAAGCGAAGCAGAAGTTCCAGAAGACAATCCTTATCTTTATGACACATGACACTGTCTAGTCTGTCTAGAAAAAAAAGTGCTGCTCACTAATCAGGGGTCACCGCCCACTCACTGGCCGCCTGCTGTTGAGAAAACGCAGACGAAGGGCCAGATGGAAGCCCACCTCTGCACAGGATCCTGTATGTCTCTCCTTCATGCAAGGGCTCTCTCTGCAGGAAGTGGCACAGGGACACTTGTCCCTGAATACATCTGAGACTCAGTGTAGGCTCCGGGGTCTAGTTCAGGGCGGAGGAACAAGCAGTTTCTGCTGCGCCTGTGTGCTCCAGTGGCCCCAGAATGGTCCAGATCCCAGCACCTGCCCCTCCTCCCCAAGAGCAGTAGCGCAGCCCAGCATTATTTACCTGCACATATTCCCACCAAAAGTCTGGACACAATGATCATCTCGAACGACCGGGCAACCTCGCTGCACCCCATTAAGATCGCGGGTACAATGGAGAAGATGTTGTTGAAGAGCAAAGTCCCTTTCCTGGAGAGGACGAAATGTCAGTTAGTCCGGGCAGAGGATTCATTCATTCGTTTAACAGATGTTCACCAAGCGTCTGGCCAGTTACAGCAGTGGGCTTTGCTGCTGCTTCTGTCTGTGATCGAAGGCGGAGAGGGGTCAAGGGCACAGCCTGGCCGAGGCACAGTCTCCGTGGGAGCCAATGGAGATGACCACAGTGCAGAGCGCATCGGTCACGGGGAGCAGAGGCAAAGAACCGAACACTACAATACACTTAAGGGTTTTTCAAATCATCAACTTGCAGGATGTTAGTAGAATCTTGAAACCAGATCAGGTGAGGACATTAGAAGAAATGTATAGGGCCAACCTCATGGGTATCACAAAGATGGAAAATCGTACATGAAATATTAGCAGACTGAATTCAACAGCATACAGAAAAATCTTTCAGGGTTAAAATGCCACATCTGTCTGGGAAAAACAAAACTGTAACATTATTTTTTAAATGACAGAAGACTATCTTTGTGACTCCAGGCAGGTAGGGAAGGCTGTCTTCAGACACAAAAGGCAAAAACCATAAATGAGGGTTTAAGTCTGACCACTTGAACATGTAAACATCTTGTATGAAAAAGATACTATGTGTGTGATTAAGCAATAAAGCAACAGATCAAGAAGAAACTCCCCCGATACAACAGTGTTGCCTGGACAGGCCCAGAGATGGAATTTCCTCCCAGCTGTATAATCTTGGCTAAGGGACAGCATCTCTCTGTTTTGTTTTCCCATTTTGAAAAAGGGGATGGGGCTGTTGTATGGACTGGAGGAACTAAAAACCCTTAAAAAAAAAACCAAAACCCTGAAAACTCTAAAAACGCAAGCAAAGGCTAGAGCCTGGCACACAGGAACCCGTCAATAAATTATTAGTTGCTACGGTTATACAAGGAAACCACAAGCAAGTGAACAGCATTTTTATCATGTTCTCAAGCAGACAGCTGGGCTTCATCTGGACCAAACGGATCAACATGGACCCCAGTCCTTTACTCCAGGAGACCTGGCCTGCAGATCTGTGACCTGATTGCTGCTCTGGCCGGCAGGGGGAACTGCCAGGTCCAACACCAACCTCCCAGGAAGACCTCAGAATCTTAGATCCCAAAGCAGAGGTTGGATGTTTCTAATCTGGGGCTCTTTTTGAAAAGTACTGGAGAGGGCGCTGGGTTCTGGCCTTGACTCTCAAGCTAACAAGATATGTGGCCAAGAAGATGATTTGACCTCACCTAGCCTGTGTGCCTGTTCGCCAAGGGAAGGGGCTGCAGGGAGGGGCTCTTATATACCACGAGTAACAAGGCCACTTTCTCATGCCCATGGAATTTACACGAGGGAGTGTGATGTCTTAAGGACCTTTTTTGGAATCAAATATACAACCTCTAATGCTACTAGAATTAGGGGCAAAGATAGGAGCTCTGCCCTTGACGTTCACAACACCCCAAGTGAGAGTTGCCCCGGGACCATGTGGTTTCGCCCTGGAAGGTCTGACAGTCATCGCAGCCATTTCAGAGTTTTATGGGAATTTAATTTGGGCTCAGTTTTGAGTATTACTTGATCCCAAGGTAAAAGGACAGAGCAGTGAGTTTGTATTTGTTTGGGAAGCAGAGTTTGAGAACACTGTGCTGTGACCTACATTGGGACTGACATCGTGGTCCTGTTACCTGGGGTTTGAATCCTTTCAAAGCGCACACACACACACACACACACACACACACACGAGGAGAGAACTTGTTTTGATTTTGGTAAGGAACATACCTGGCAAGGCAGGAGAACAGAGAGAGGGAGCGAGTCCGGGGCTGGGAAGTACATTCTGGTCTTTCTGGACCTGCCCCCAGAGCCCAAGACCCGCCACACCCACTTCTAGACCCTGCCTCCGTCCCCAGACACTTGGTCAACATCGGGTCTTCTTAAGACCCTATTAGAAAACAGAAATCATCACACCGGTTATTACCTAGTTTTACCAACAAAAAAACCGATTTTGGCTTTAGGCTTAGGTTTTGAATGGATGGGGTCTGGGGATTTCAGGAGCTGGAAATTCACCTGGCCTTACCTGCCAAATTTATTCACCAAGGGGCCGACCATGAGGGAGCCAAGGAAGCCTCCAAACGGGAACATGGACACAGACACAGACCACAGCAACGTCAAGGAAAACTCGTTTATGTAGTTATTGTTGCGCTCATAGTAGGTCTGGTTATAAAACTCTTTCATGAGCTGGAGAACAAAGCAGAAGACAGCACCAAAATAACTTGACCCGGTTTTGCAGAAAGCGCACCGTGAGCTGTCAGGCCCCCCAGTGGACGACCTGGGCACACAGACAGCGACACTAGTGAGTGGCAGGGAGGAGGGACAGAGTGGTACGAAGAGAAGCTAGCAGGGGCACCCACGCGGGGAGATGCCAGGCCTCTGATAGGCACCCTGCCCAGGACGTAGCTAACCCCAGTGTTCTAGGCCTTTGGACGACCTCTGACCCTCCAGACTCCTCTGGAGAGTGCAAGGCTGGGGAAGACCAGAGCACCCCCCCCGCACCCCCAAGGCCAGCCCCTGGGTGAAGAGCCAGGTCTGACTGTCATGAGAAGCCAAGGCCAGGCACCCGGCTCACCCCCACGTGCCCACAAGTCACTCCCTCGGGCCTGCGCTGTGTCTCGTGGGTATCTCCCTCCCCCGTGACCTGAGGGCCCACCGTGCACCCCAGCGTGCATGGACCGCCACCCCAGAGGCCAATTCCAGGCACGAGCTGCTCCAAACCCCCAACCCACTGGCAGGGGTGAGGGGTTTGCTTCTCACTCCCCCCAGCGACCTACCTCGGCAGGGGAATTAACGGCGGCCACGTTGTACCCATACTGGAAGGATGACCCAAAGGCGGCTATCAGCGTCGCCAGTGAAAGTACGAGCGTCAGCCTCTGTGGGAGGAGAAATCCTGGCTTAGGTCATAGGAAGCAGCTGGGGTTCAAGGGAACTTTTACCCCAAAGTCTTCTAGAAGGATGCATTTGTCTCTTCTAGAAGGACGCAAGACAAATCTGGAGATCTGTTGTCTTCCAGCTGCTCCCTGTCTCGAAACCTACCTCTACCACCTTATAGAAAGTTCCTTGAGCCGAAGCATTTAAGGGCTAGATGATTCTCTGCTCTGGGGGGCTGTCCCAGATGCACTGTAGGGCCACCCGTCCCCAGGTGTCTCCAGCCATCACTAAATGTCGGCCTGGTTGGGGAAAGCGACTGCCCCTGAGTACCCCTGGGTCAGAAAGACACCGAAGGTTCACCTGCTCCAACACTCTACCTCTGTCTGAAATGCTTCCCCACCACTCCACCGCATGACAGCAGCCAGCAGCGCCCAAGTCCTCCCCTGACAATCGAAGAGGAGAAAATGTGAACAATTCTGTTTCTTTAGGGCCACGGATTAACTTCCTTGAGCCTCTGGACTTTTGCTTTAACAGGCATGAGGAGGAAATATTTAAATACAGGTTTCTGGGGACTCAATGTTCTGTGATCATGTTCCCCTTTGACACTGAGGAAACTGAACACTTACTTAACGACGAGGGGGAAGTCGTTAGTAAGGTCACGAAAAATTGGAGAAAAATAAAAGTGGAAAAAGGTTTTCTCTAGAATATACAGATTTTTTTTTTTTCTTAAGATATTTATTTGACAGAGAGAGAGAGAGAAAGAGAGAACAAGAGAGGGGGAACAGCAGAGGGAAAGGGAGAAGCAGGTTCCCGGCTGAGCTGGGAGCCTGACGTGAGACTCGATCCCAAGACCCTGGGATCATGACCTGAGCAGACGCTCAACCGACTGAGCCACCCAGGGGCTCAGAATCTACAGATTTCATCTTGCATCTGCCCGCTGCTACTTTCTAGCTTAATTGCTAGACTCTTCAGTTTCCTCCTCTTTAAAAGGAGGGTCAATCACACTCCCTCAGAGCTGTTGCAAGGTTGAATCACAGAAGTGTCGAGCTGTGGAGCTGAATCCACTGACCGGGGCCTGGACGTGCTCTCAGAAGCCGCCCCTGGAGCATCTTCCTCCCCGTGCTCCCACCGAGGCCCCGTCCCGCGGACACGTGCTCCCTCATGGCTGCCAAGGTCCCCGGGTCTCCCTCCAAGCAGCGCCTCTGCAGAGAGCTGAGGGGCCAGGCCGGTGGCAGAGACACCACAGCCATCCCTGCCCTGTCCCCGGGGCCCCGGAGAACACGAGCCGGTTAACAGCCAAGCAGCAGGGGCAAGACCTGCCAGGAGGCCCCACAAATGAAACCTCGCCCTCTCCTCCCTCCACCAAAGGAATTAACAAACGGTTCATTCAGCAGGAAGTTTCTGGCAAGGAGGGTAAGAAGCATGGGCTCTGGTTTCCAGTCTCTCCTCAGCCCCCACCATTCCCTGGGGCCAGTATGGGGAGGAGGTGACCAAAGTGGGGGGGCAGTGATGGTGCCCAGGAGAGAAAGTCGGTTCCCGGGCTGCTGCCATGCTACCCTGTGCTTGCTAAAGGTGGGGAGGGCACAGGAAGGAACACGGGTGCACACAGACTTCACCCCAGATGCAAGACAGGGCTGCCCTCGCTCCCCCGGGAGGTGCTCTGGGCAGTTACTCCCTCCCTCCTTCCCTCCAACACATGGTGGCACCCTCTGAGCCCGCATTGTTCTTAAGTGCTGGGGATACAGGGGAAAACAAAACAAAGTCCCTCCCCTACGGGGGTTCTATTGCTTGATTTTGTGGAAGGGGGTAAGGAGGAAGGAGGAAGGCAGGCAGGAAACTGATGAACAGTTTTCCTCTTCTAATTCTCTTCCAGGTAAATGATTAACTAGAAACACAGTAGGCTTCACTCAAACTGCCAAGGGCCCCTCCTGACCGCTTTCTACTCCCGTGGGTCCTCTGCTTTGAAGACCTTAGCAGAGCTCCTCTGGGGAGCCGGCTGGTGCCCCAGAAGGCAGGACACTGCCAGGCACCACGGCCGGCCGGCCGGTGACCGGACTGCTTTTAGGAGATCCCAGGGAACAGATGAGGAAGAACTCCAGCCGCAGACTCTCCAAGCACAGAGCATACAACTTAACGTCCGTGCTTTGTCTTCCTCCCTGAATTCAAGCTACAGGCACGTTCTCTGGACCCGTAGGAGTCAGGGGTTACCCTCTGTCGAAACCGTAAAGACATTCTGGGTAGGTTCTCGCTGACCACGCTGTCCAAATGCCTTCATTCATTAAACAAATAGTGGCTGAGACCTGACTCTATTCCAGACACCACGCTACAGTCTGGTGAGTAGATGGGCCACCCTCCACATCATGGTCCAGTGGGGAAGGCGAACATTAAAAAAACAAACAAACAAACAAAAAACCCAACCTAATAACTTAATAGTTTAATTATCACTGTAGTGAGCTCTACAGAGGGAAAAAAACCACAGAAGTGGTTTAAAAGAGGAGCCAGAAGTGAACAGGGGCTTGGGTGAGGGGCATGGCTGAGCCAGGGACAGAAGCACTAGCTCTGAGGACCATCACAAAGTTAAACAGGGTAACCGTATGACCCAGTGGTCCCACACACAGGTGTCCCCCCAAGAGAAAGAAAGACACGTGCATGCAAACACTTGAACACAAATGTTCGTGGCGTCATTATTCCTATCAGCCCCGAGCTGGAAACCATCCCAGTACGGATGAGCTGATGAGTTGTCTGCACAGCCAGACAACGGAAGACGACCTGACCAGGAGGAAAGACAACGGACTGACACGCACGACACACGGTGGCTGGACCTTGAAAACATGCTAAGTGAAAGCAGCCAGTCACAGAGGAGCCCCTGCTGTCTGCCTTCGTCTTTGCCAAAGGTCCAAAACAGGCAAATCTAGGGAGACACAGACGGTAGCTGGGTGGTTGCCAGGGTCTAGGGAGAGATGTGGGTTACTGCCACGGGGCACAGGGTTCTTTTAGGGGTGATGAGAATGGTCTAAATTTACCCATGCTGATGGCTGCACAACTGTACATTTGTGTATTTTATTCAAATTGTATACTTCTCATGGGTAAATCGCATGGTCTGTGAGTTACGTTCTCAGGAAAGGTACTATATTTAAAAGGCATGTAAAAGCAAACCACAGTTTCTTTTCTTTTCCTATTTCTTTTCTTTTCCCTCTTTTTTCTTTTCTTTTCTCTTTTCTTTCTTTCCTCTTTCTTCCTTCCTTCCTCCACTCCTTCCTTCCTTTCTTTCTCTCCTTTCCCTCCTTCCTTCCTCTCTCCTTTGTTCCTTCCTTCATTCCTTCCTTCCTTCCTTCCTTTCTTTCCTTTTTTTTTTTTTTTTTTTTTTGTAGGCTTTCCAGGAGGGAAGAGATCTAGTACTGGGCTGGAGTAGGGCATGAGAGGGAAGGGGCCCAGGTCTCTCAGCAGCTTGTAAAAGTGACAAATGGCCTTCAGACGTGAAAGGGGGTGGGGTGTCTCCTCAGTGGCCAAGGGGAGCCATGACCCAGCTATGCTTTCGGGAGCAACTGCACGTTCCTCATGCCCACAGTAAATGGGCTTCCTGTTTCATAACACTGAACACATTTTCAGACTTCATTAAAAAGCCACCTTCAGGGGCCGGCTTCCAACTGGATGTGATTTAAGGCTGCTGGGAAGGGAGCTTTGCCCCAAAACAGCTCCCTTTGGGAATCTGCTTCCTACATCCATTCCCGCTGTCCGGAATCTCCCAGGAGAACTCAAACATCTCCAGAAAAGTTAGTTCTTATGAATGATTAACTCTTCGAGTCACTTTCTCACACTTCCGATCCCAACGTTCACAAACAGAAAGGGAGGCCTAGGTGCGGCTGGGGGACAGGAGAGGTGTCTTGCCTTGTGGCTCTGGTGGTTTCGAGCTCGGTGGGGCGGGGGGGGGGGGGCAGCCCAAGGGCCCGGGATCGGATCCTACGCTCCTGCTGCTGGCTGTGTGGCCTTGGGCCAGTTACAGAACTTCTGTGTCTTGGCTCCTTCACCGGTAAAATGGGGACGGCCCTCCCTCCCTCACAGGACTGAGGTGAGGAATGAATGAGTTCACACACGAAAAACACTTGGCTTATAGTGAGTTCTACACACAGCCCTGCTCTCACCACCAACACCGATCACACCAGAAGGGAAGTTACGCATCCCATCACACTAGGTGTGCTGTTGATGGAGGCGCATTCCCCCCTCCCACAAAAATTATGTCTTCATTTTCTAAAAACACTTGGCTCATTTTTCCCCCTTCAGGCCAAGAGTCCTTTTTCTTGGAAGAAAAATCCTTGACGCACATTGGTCAGATTCTGGTCTTTTCTCTTTACATATGAGGAACCCAAAGGCCAATGAGGCCATGGTCACACAGCCAATGGGGGGACAGAGAGCAGGCCCCCTCCACTTTTCCTGGGCTCCAAAATGCCCCCTGGGCTTCCCTCAGTAACCTGCAGATATTCCCATAGCCACCACGGGAATCATTTCATTTTCATGCATCCCAGGAAGCCCAGCACGTGTCCTGGCTTTTGTCCAAAGGGGCAGCTCTGGCCTCAGGCAGCCGGGAAGGGGAGGCCTCCACCCCCCCCCCCCCCCCCCCCCCCCCCCCCCCCCCCCCCCCCCCCCCCCGCCCCTGGAGCGCGGGCTTCCTTCTTTGGAGAATCCAGGGGGCAGGCATCTAGCTAGAATCAGCCCGTACCTGCTGCATGTGACCATTTTAATCCTATCCTCTCCAGATGTGTGGCTTCCTTTCAGGCACCACCATGCGGGGCTTTTCTGTTCTCCTGCGGCCTCATCTGGCGGCAGAGCTGGCCAGGGCATTCCTCTTTGAAAAGAGGGCACAGACCCGATGAGGGCCTCTGGCGGCCCCCAAGACCCTAAGTTCTTGTCGACTCACAGCCCCTTTTCTATGAGATAGAGGGCTTAACGTCTGAGCGCGCCCACCTTTCTTGGTTGCTGCAAGAGTCAAACGAGATCCACGTGGGAAGGCTCATTAACCTTCAAAACTTAATTCTCGCAGCACGAGAACGCCTCTAATGAGTAGAGACTAGGGAGGTTGCTAAACGGCCTACAATACACAGGCCAGCCCCCCACAGCAAAGAGTCATCGGACCCCAAATGCCATTCGTGCCCCGCTCTAAAGGATGAGCAAAAGTAGTAACATTTATGGGGGACCCACTACGGGCCAGGTAATTGGTCCAGTAGCCCTAGGGGGCGGTCTGGTTATTATCCCCATTTTACAGATGAGAAGGCTGAGGCACAGAGCAGTGAAACAACGTGCCCACGTTCCCGCAGCTCGAACAGGATGGAGCGGGAACAGAACCAGGACCTCCCGCCTCCCACACCTGCTCTGAATCCGCAGAGTGTGCTCTCGACCTGTCTGTGGAATGGTCTCCCCTCCGCGCCCGGCTCAGGCAACACCGGCACAGGCAGGAACCTGTCTCCACAAATACAAGCGGATGAGCCGCAATGCCTAAAATGCGAATTCCTCGTGATAAATTCGCAGGTTCTGTCTTCCCGAACTCTCCTCAATCAAGAGACTCTCAAAGGACAGCCGAAATTCTCTGAGCGAGGGGAGTGGGGCAGGAGGGGAGTGGGGCAGGAGGGGAGAGGCCAGAAAACTCTTGTCTTGAAAACAAGGGAGTCTCTCCTCTCAAAGGCCGGGCATCCCTGCTCGCAGATGGGAATGAGGCTCGAGTCCATTCTGAGTCTTCTCGGCATCCTCCCCCTTTCCACGCCGGCCTTGCCGCGTGACTTGCCCCAGAACCGAATGCCAGTGTCCCGAAGCCCCCATCAAAACAAATTAAGAAAAGCACCTCACCCACATCGTGCAAGGGTTTTGTGGGGCCGGGGCGTGTGGGGTGGGGAGGGCAGAGGCCCTTCTCCTCCAGCTTTTCTGGGTAAGGCACTGGGGACAACAAAAGCCTCGACCAGTCTTCAATTTGGTGGCAGGTACTTTTCAAGGCTGTTCGGGGAGAATGATCCCCGGCCAGTCTCCAAAATCTAAGTGTCCCTGAATGGTCTCCTAGTCCCTGTCAAAGCGAGCTCGAAGGCTCCGTCCAACGGGCCCCGTCCCTCCCGGGAGCAGAGCCGAGCGGCCGTCAGCAGCGGGCCGCTCCGCGCTCCTTCCTTCCCCGGGAGACCCACTTACCCCCTCCTTCTTGGCCGGGCTCTGCTGCTCCATCTTGGGCCTGCCAGAGGGGAGCGCCTGCGACTTCCTTTCAGCCAAAATAACAAAAGCGCTGAATGGAGAAAGAAGACATTCGGGTTGTACTTTGGCCGCGCCAAGGATCAGCCAATAGCGTTTTTACAGCCAGCCCCGCACTGAATAACCCTTTCAGGAGTCCCGAGGTGTGTGCTTGTGTGTCTCCTTTCACTTCTTTTAAATGCAAAGCTTGGGGGTTGGCTCAGCCGGCGGGCGCCCCCTCCCCCCAGCACCGCCGGCAGCGCCTGCCCGATGGGGCGGGCTGTGGCCGTGGCTCCCTGGAGAACCTCCACCAGTCGGGCTCGTGATGAGTGACTGGGGGAGTTATTTCTGTCACAAACACTCGGAAAGCCACCGGCCCCACATCGTACCAGGTAGCACGAGGCCAAGGGTTAGGGTCACCGGAGGTTCCTGGGAAGTGGTCCCTGCCAGGAAGCCCGCAGCCCGTCTGTCTGGGAGTCCGCTTTTCCTCAAATAGCCGCGCCACACTAGCTCGGAGAGTTTATTTTCCTTTGCGAGGACCCGAGGGGCCTGAAGATGCGACTTTCTCTGTGATCATCACTTCTGTAAAGGCAGTAAATAGCTCAGATGCCTTTATCTGCAGGGCAGGGAAAGTGAGTCACGGCTGCTGGCCTGGGTCCACCGGGTCTGCCAGGCGTGAACAGGCCACGGCCGCCTCCTGCGCTCAGCGCGTGTCCGCGCCGCGGCTGGAGCGTGGGCTTCCTTGGAAGCGTGGGCAGCCCGGGTCAAGGGGCCAAAATCTGGGGCAGAGTCCCACAAGGCCCACAGGCTTTCGTCTTTACGGGATGTATTTCCTGTTTTACTTGCTGAGGTGCAAATCTATTAATTCAGCCACTCCTCTCCCTCCTTCCCCAATTTTTTTTTTTTAAGATTTTACTTATTTGTCAGAGAGAGAGAGAGAGAGAGAGAGAGAGCCCAAGCGGGGGAGCAGCAGAGGCAGAGGGAGAAGCAGCCTCCCTGCTGAGCCAGGAGCCAGAATCCTGAGATCATGACCTGAGCCAAAGCAGATGCTTAAACCAACTGAGTCACCCAGGCGCCCCCCATCCTTTCCCAAAGAACCAGGAGTCCACCGTGTGCTGGGCGCCGTTCCTACATCAGTAGCAGGCTTGGGAATTGTGACCAGGGTCTTACATGCGGGAGACTGGAGGAGGGTGACGAAGGGCCTGTGCGTGTGCGTTGGGGGGGCCCTATGCCCCCGTCGCCAGGGAGGACTGGCCATTTTTCCCCACCAGCTCATTCCGTCCTTTCTCTCTGTATCACAGCATGATGCCCAAGGAAGGTTTGGCAAGACCAGAGGTTCCCAATCATTTCAGAGAGCTCTGGAGAATTCTCCAAAGAAAATGCACTTTGGTGGGGGGAGAGGGGAGGGGGTGAAGGGAAAGACAGATTGTGCAAACAAAAAGAAGTGGCCTCTGTTGGCAGCCCTGAGTCATGGCCAGGCCCACCTGTCCCGGGCCTCCTGCATGCTTGGGGAGGTGGAGGGGGCGGGAGGGGGCAGGGGGACATCCTGCCCGTCGCCTGACCTCCCCAGCCCCACTGAGGCCCTACTTGGTTCCTGTGGGACTCAGGCATTGCAGGCATGGCCATGTGTCACCAGCACCCCAGCAGGGCCAGCCAACGGGGTACAGCCCTTTGCCTGGGCTCCTGCCACCGGGAGCACCCAGGAGTGAGTGAGCCCAAGGGCTGGGGGCTGCACCCCTCATAGGTGCTATCTGCTATATCCCTGCTCCAACCCTCCCAGCCCAGGGACTGGGCCCAGCAGCTTGGGGTCTCCAGCTGCTGTTGAGCCCAAGGAAGGGCCCTTGGACTCAGGGAATCTGGGCATTCAGATGGGGTAATGGCCCGCCAGTTGGAGGCACACCCCTGGCAGGTTGACTTGGGGTCTGTGCTCTGCACCCCACCCCTTAAATGGTCTCAGAGTGGGGTGGGGGTCTCAGACTCTGGCCTCTGGGCCCTGCCCTCCCTGCCTGGCCCTGGTCTGGACTCGAAGAACCTGCCAGTTGAAGCCTATTTTTGCCTTGTGGTTTAAAATGGACACTAATGAACACCACTGATCGACCCAATGACAGGCTGAGGTGTGTCCGGGATCATGTACAAGTTTTTCCGAGAAACTGCGTGTATTTTGAAACTACCTCTACAAAGAGCTAAGGAATCCCTTTTAAAGGAAAAGTGGACAGTTACGGGGCCATGCTTGGTCCTGGCAGGGCCCTCCTGCCACTCTTCCCCACCTTCCACACAGTTCGGGTCCTCATTAGGAGAAGTATTATATTAGGACTTTTGTTATATTATTATATAATTTATATATTATATTATATTGGGATTTTATTATATCAGGATTTTATCATTGAGGGAGAGAAGGACCCAAAGAGGGCCAGGTATAGGGCCTCTTTAACCTCTCATGACCCAGGAAGTGTGGCCGGGGACTCTAACATGAGGATCTGAGTGCCAGAATTTAACTCCCAAAGTGCTATTACTAACATAAAATGTAAATATGTCAGCGCACAACCTTAGGAGACTTACCAGAATCTGACAACAGTGGTTATCCTGGAACGTGAGATCACAGGTGATTTCGACCCTAGCATATATTTCCATTTATATTTTATTCTTAAAAGACTTATTTCATTTTGTTATTTTTTAAAGATTTTATCTATTTATTTGACACAGAGAGAGAGATCACAAGTAGGCAGAGAGAGGGGGCAAGCAGGCTCCCTGCTGAGCAGAGAACCCAAAGTGGGGCTGGTCCCAGGACCCTGAGATCATGACCTGAGCCCAAGGGAGAGGTTTAACCCACTGAGCCACCCAGGCACCCCTTAAAAGTCTTAAAAGACTTATTAGAGAGAGAGTTCCAGGAGGAGGAGGGGCCAAGGGAGAAAGAGAATCTCAAGCAGACTCCCCACTGAGCACAGAGCCTGACGTGACCCTGAGATCATGACCTGAGCTGAATTCAAGAGTCGGATGCTTAACCCACCGAGGCACCCAGGCGCCGCTCCATTTATATTTACTGAGCCTAATGCTGTACGGGAAGGGGAGTGCAACAGGGTTCCAAGAGAAAAACTGCCTACTGCCCCAGGCAGCTTAGACTCTACTTGAAGACACAGTTTAACCAAATAAACACATTGATGAATTTACAACAATAAAAGAGCTCTAAAGATGGGGGTAGAGGGCTGGTCAGGAAAAGCAGTCCTAAAAATGTGAGCTTGAGCCGAGACAGGAAGGAAGGAGGAAAAGAGCTTACCCAGGCAAAGTGGGTGGATGGGGAGGGGGTGGTGGAGAGGCCTTCCAGACAGGAACAGTATGTGCCAAGGCCTGTGGTCGGAGCGTAACGCCATCAAGAAATTGCAAGGTCAGTGTGGCTAAGGAGCACAAGGCAAAGAGGAAGAGTGTAGGGGGGAGGCTGGCGGGGCAGACTGGGCCGGACTAGACTTAGTACTTGTAGACCACGCGCGTTAATGAGCTCGATTTTTGTCCTAGGAGCAGAGAGGAGGTGTTGAGTTTCGAGAGAGATCAGATTTGCGTTCTTCCAAACTCACAGTGGCTACCTCGAGGTGAACCACAGAGGGAACAGAGGTTCACGGACTGGGGAAGAGGGGAGGGAGTGGTTCCTTTGCTGTACGACCGACCCAGACCCACGGAGGGTAGAGGAAGAGATGAGAGAAGTCAATTAATCCGAGAAATATCTAGGCTATAAAAGTGACAAGACTTGCTGACTGACAGTACCAGGGGCGGTGAAACAGGACGACTTCTGTATGACTGTTGCAATGAAGAATCAAAATGATCCTTCTGAAAATGAGGCTTTTCAGAATTACCAGTTTATGTGGGAAAATTCAACAAAAATGTAAAAAGTTGAAGTAGCACCAGAAGGCAGGGGGGCAAATCCCTGGGCTGTTTTGAGACCAAAGATATCGGGACTTTGGGTCACTGCTGGTCTCACTCACCTCTCCTAGGAATGTTCTGGAATCTTCAAGTTTTGCCGCAGGCCTTTTTTGAACAGACTGCTGTGGCTCCCCCAACCCCAAATCAATTTGCTCAGTCCCTTGTCAACAGTAATAGAATTTGGGGAAGGACCTCTTGGCTGTCCAAAATAAAGACTGCGTTTCCCTAGGTCCCTTGCAGTTGGTGTGGACATATGACAAAGCTCTGTATAATGCAAAGGGGTCGCTGGTGGCGTGACTGGATTTGGTTTTCTGTTCAGGTTAAAAAACCGCGTGGGATTTGAGTGGGTCTGCCCCAACCCCTTTTTTCCCCGGGAAGCCCTGTTATTTTTATGTGCCACACAGCAGAACTTGGGGTCCCCTAGGAGCACGGGCAAGGTGCTACAGCAGAAACGCTGGTATAGGCCTCAGGGGGGCACAGACTGAGGCTGCCTGCCCAGGAGCAGTGTGCACATGGGATTGCTGGATTCCCGGGAGGGTTGGGAAGGGACTGGGTCATCTCCATTCCAGGTTTAGATAAGGAAGGGGTGAAGAACAGGTCCTAGCGTGCATCCAGCTATCCAGACCCCGTGGTCCTGGGGCAGTGAGGGGAGGTGGAGGGGATCTGGTCTGTTGACCTAAGACTTTTCAAGCCTGGTGCTCAGTGGGGTCAACCACATGCCACCCCGGCCAGCCATCTGGCCATTGGAACTCAGCTCAGCAGAGAAAATGTATCAGATCCGAGTTAGCGTTCTTGCTCCTTAGGCCGGTTAGGAGCTCTGACACTGAATCTGGCTCAAGACTCGATCAGGCGTCGCCAGGGCAGGGAGGCTGCCCGTCACGCTCCGACATGCCTGGTGAGTAAACTTCAGAGACTTTACAAGGTTCCCCTGTTCCTACCAAGAACAGAATTTGACCTTGCTTATCAGGGTGCACAGGCACAAATGGGTGTGTCCCCCAAGAACCACGGACAGAAAGCGTGAAAGCCAGGGGGGTCACGAGGCTCCTCCGGGTCCCAAGGGACCTCCCTCAGTTACACAGTACCGTAGGTAGACAGCTCTTTGTTTAGAACTGTCATAAAAACACACAACAAAGCTTCCTATCTTTAGTATACAGTTTGCTCTATCTACGATGTGGGGTAAGTGATCGCCTGAACTTTCTCACTTTGCAAGACTAAGGCTCTATGCCTGCTCCATGTCGACTGCCCATTTCTCCTTCC